TTTTAGGTACCTCACCACTCTGTTTTCGTGTGATTTTACATGATATACTGTAAACATAGTATGTAGTGTTAATGAATTTTCGCGGGCTGGACATTTTCGTTGTCCTGTATCCGTTCGCTTGTAAATTTTCCAACGGTGTTGCCGTACCTGCGGTCTTGGTCATGTGTCGTGGAGCGATATGCTGATGTTTAGTTTTAGAATGTTGCGATTACTGGTCAGGGTATGGTCGGTTAAGTTCAGATTCCGCGTTCATATCGGAGAACGCGTTTTACGTATTGGGCGATTTTCAAGCGTTGTTCAGTGAATGTGTTTCACCGAACTGAGGAAAACACGGAATCCTTCAAGTAACTGAATATATAAATCTCTTGGCATCATGAAATGACACTTTATCAATCACGGAACAGAAGAAACACGTAGTCTTCAAGGAAGTCCAGTGAATCTCTCTTATGAGCTATGTGGTTACCGATTGGGAGAGTTCATTGAAACAATAGGTGGTTCTCTTATAGACCTAAACAGATATTGTTTAGGTAAATAAGATTCCTAAATTTCCTAAATGAAACGAATTCAGTTTTTTTAAGCATGCTTTCTGCAGTAATGCGTAAACTGCGACCAGCAGAGGGATCGAAAAAGCTTCTTTCCGCCTCAAACCCATCGAGTTTTGCGGTGGAATTGAGCTTGATATCCGCCTCATTGCAAGCTTAAATGTAAGACTGTGGTTGAAATTAGGCTTGANCTATTGTAGTTCTCGTTCTTATTCTCATCACAGATTTCCCGCAACTGATTCGATCGAGTTGCGATTTTTGATATCATCTCGGCGTATCGCACATGTCCCTTCTAACCCTTAGACGAATTCATTGAGTTTGTTCACAAGCTAATTAACTGAGCATGATAGTTATTCAATAAGTGAATCAATTATCACATTAATATCATCTCAGTTAATCGATTGAAATGATTACGACTGCCATTCAACCTTGATCTGAGCGATCTCTATTCCAATCAAGGAATATATTCTGCGTATCTGTCAATCACCACCCTACACACCAAATTCATTATTCACGCGTGCATAATGTTCTCTGTAAGAGCGATTAATATATGCTCAAAGGCGATCCAGTCAAAGAATGAATCGAATGCACCAGTACGTACGCATAAATTCGATGCGTTGCGTTCTATAATAAAAATCCTTTCATTTCTCTGTCGATAGCACATCGTTCTCTCTCTTCGATCAAATGTGAACGAAGTGTGCTCGTTATCTTAACACAGGAAAGCACGTCTCTACTGAATTGGAATATCAAGTGAAGTAAACTGATGGATCATTAAATGTTACAAGCTGTTTTGTACAACCATTCAGTCTGAACTTTTCAGGGATTTTCCCTCATATCCCATTGATTATTCGAATCCTACTCGTCAACGACTACACAATATTGATCGTCCCATTCGACCTTAATTGTTATGGTTTGATCTGACGGCAATAATTATTACTTTTTTTGCTAGTGAAATACGGTAACGAACAGCTGATTGACTGATTGACGGGTGTTTGTTTGTATGCATCGCTGAGTGAAGACAGCTTACGATTAAATGAAGATATTTTTCATGGAAAAATTAAAGCGTAGGGGTTGGAAATGAGGAGGAAAATGTTTTAAATTTGGTATAAATTCCAGTCTCATCACCAGTGATCACATCATCAGACCGTGGAGGAGCTGCGCATTGTAAACATACACTGAGAAAAATTTTTACAATAGTTTTGAATGGGTTTTTCGTTGCGGAATTGCTGCACTTTATGTATTTTGCCTTTCTGAGGGGTTCATTTGATCAGACACTTTCTCAGAAATGTAAATTTTTGTTGATGATTTGTTGATGAAGAAGTTAAGTTGGCGATCGATGTGAAATAATGGCGAAATCCAGAAACTGTACAACATAAGGATTTTCAAGAATGATATCCACCATGATTTGAGGTCGATCATTGAGGCACATTTCCAAGAAAGCAAACATGCGTAATCTGTTCAGTTCGGCTAACAATTAGGAATGAACGTAACGGTTCATGAGAAAATATTTTCAGAGGGTTCTTTGTTGTTCGTCAATGTGCGTGTTTTGATGCAAATTTAGGTAGAATATTTTCACGAGGATTTGCACGTTACTATTCTATGAATCGTTATGTTGGATGCGAATCAAAAGTTGCTTAGTGAATGAATGGAAAATAGGATGTGATTCATACGAGAAATCATGTGGCAAAATTTAGATTCGACACCTACCGTATCCAACGAAAATATCTTTTCGACTTAGTTGTAAACGCAGAAATCGATTAATACCAACTTATTTATCTGTTCATCTGCATAGTCTAAGCATTCCTTGGTTCATTTTGAGTGATGATTTTATGGGTTTGGCGTTTGTGATTTAAAACAGTCGCTGTCCTGACTGGNCCCGGAAATTCGGTTTGTTTTGCAAATGAGAACATGAACTGAGTTTGTTGGTGAGAATAGTGATGTGAAATTTTAGGCTGCAATGATGATTCCATGTTGCAGATTTTAGATTATATTTATCAGAAAATAGGCCAAATATTTTCGTTCGAGCAGATTTTGTCACTGATCTCATACATGGGTACCGTGCGAAACTCTCACAGAAATACTGATGTTTTAGATACTGGGGATTTATCGAATGAGAATTAGATCTTATTTTCAAGTTGCAAGGGGTTGCAAGAGGTTAATAATTTGTAGAATATGGATTCACCTGACTTAGATGAAGCCAGAGTTTAGGTCAAATAAGTCTACTGACATAGCTCCAGTGGTATTGATCTGTTGCCATCTGAAATGACCGGAAACTAATTATTTGGATCATGCAGTCTAATCTGTTGTTTTTTCATTTCTAGTTTTACGTATCATTTTTTCAGTTTTAACCGATTTTCAATCCTTTGTTCCACCGTATTGTTGCTAAACGTAATACTTTTTTCCTGGAGTTGCTTAATCAGCAAAAACAACTCTCTGACTCAGTCTCAGATCACTGTACTGGATCATTCTGAACTAAATTCACCTAGTAAACTCTAACCCAAGTTTTAGAGTTATACGAATTCGGGAGTGTGCTTCCGTTTCAAGTTGAATGCAGTGAGCAGCACACTGAAGCTGAGTCCACGGTGATTTGGTTGTCAAATATCACCCGACTAGTTTTAAACAGCAAAAGAACCTTTTTTGTCCCNTTAAGGTTTCACGACGCGTTAACAACAAGTACAAATAGATAGTTTTTTTAGTTTATTGAGTTGTTCCCGATGATACGATTCCCGTTGATGGGACTGAACTGATCTCTTAGCTTCAACTGGGATATTTTAGTGGTTGAATTCAAAGAGCGTAATTTACGGCCGTTCTGATCATATGACCGTTGATTAGATTTTGTAGGAGTGAGAGCCGTTCATTCGAATGGATTTTTATGCGGTGCGAAATGCGTCGAGATGATTTCTTTAACTATGAAGTTTATCGAGCACATATGCCTGAATCCTTCATATATTAGAGTTATTCTTGTATCTCACAGATTCTTTACCTGTGCATTTCTAAACGATGGTACCTGTATTTCATTGATTTCCTGATTGTGCGCCATTGTTGTTGTTGTTTTCGTAGATACGAGAAGCTCATCAAAGATAATGATCATTGACTTCGTCAACCAGTTAAGCTGAACAACACAGAATATGTTTTCTCACTTATGCGTATAGTTGTATATTCCAGGCATGATTGTATTCCAGAAGCTTAATTAATCTATCATCACCACGACACATCACTATTAACTTCAATCAACTTCGCCATTAAACGACAACAAATTACCACACTGATCAACAAAAGCGATGAATCGTTCATACGAAAAATTCTATCGGCATTTCGAGCGGCCACCTTTCGCACCTACATATTATCCAAGTGAAGAGGAATTTGTGGATCCGATCAGCTATATTGCTAAAATTAAACCGGAAGCCGAACGATATGGCGTAGTTAAAATAAAACCACCACCCGTTCGTTTTGTCACTTATCTGTTCTTGATATACAGTCGTTCATCAACAATTCTGTGTCGTTGAATCTTGATTGTATGCAATTTAAGCTGTTTTGTGTATTAATTTCAATGGGTTTGGTAATTCCTGTAGTTATGAATGATTTTTGCAATCATCACATTCACATTTGCGATGCTCAATTATCACTCTGATCCATCGATTACTTGCTATCGTTTATCTAAAACGCTCAATGAAACATCTGAGCACCTTCTTCGGATTGCACTGTTTCATTTAACTCGTAATCAGCTTGGTAGAGTCAATATCAAAGCAAAGACCAGATTTGTTCTTATTCATATTACTGAATCGTTTTGAATGAATGAATTTCAGTCGTTTCATCCACCATTCGCTATCGATAGTGAGCATTTTGAATTCACTCCTCGTGTGCAAAAGTTGAATCAAATCGATGGTTTGGTTCGTTCGAAGTTGATTTTCGATACTGAACTCACGAACTTTTGGCATCTCAAAGGACAACCACTGCACATTCCTTGCATTGAGAACAAATATGTGGATTTGTTCCGTCTTTCAAGAGTTTGTTTTGAATTTTTTTGATCACTTATTTCAGTTTTGAGTTCGAACTCGTTTCCTGATTCGTTTATGCGAATGGCATTGAACGGTTTGGATAGCATCGAGTACATCACTCAATCACCGTTTCATTATGATTTGGTGCTCATCATCGCAACTCACCGGTTGTCATGTTTTTATGCAGTGAATATTGGTGAAAACAGTATTTTCGCTGTCATTCCAGTCACTTCGAATTCATTCGCTAATGTGTTGTATGCAGTTCAGTCAACACGAAAACAAAAAGTTCACTCGAGAATAAATTGAACAATGAAACGAGTTAGGTATATGTGTGTCAATCATATGATCACACTGGGGTTTGAATAGATTCTAGTAGCGAAACAAGCAAAATTTCTGATAGCGCTTCATTTCTGAATCAATCACTTCATCGCAGAATATTTTCGAGCCACTGACGAATCCACTCCTCACTGTAGCCATTTTTGTAGGCTGTCGCAGATGCGGGTGGACTGATATGTAAACAGTCCACGAAGAAAACTATAGATCAGTTCAGATTAGAAATATTTTCTGTAATCATATTAATCAAAATGCGGTTGAAAGTAATGAACTTGTTGATGACTGTCTGCAATGAATTAATAGGATGTGTACAAGCTGAGCGAAACAGAGGAAGAGGCGAATCGTGAGGAATGTGTGAAATCAATGCAAGGTCGAAGACGTGCACCTGAACCGCGAACAAAATCCATGGCTGGTCTTAGACACCCAATAAGTGAGTGTGAATCCACATTGGCCAATTACCATTCAACTTCTGATCTAGTTGAATTTCAATTGCATTGAACTCGCTCGCAGAAAATATGAACTATCGTGATGCAATACAATAATGATAGCGATATAATGGCCTTATGGATAGTGATCAGCGTAACATTGAAAATCATACCGGATTTTTCGTTTAGTTTAGTTTAGTCAAAGTTTGGGTTTGTCATTGAGAATAAAGCTGATCCAATGAACAAGCGAGCGACGATCAGATCAGAAATTGTTCAGAAGTTAAAAAAGTGAAATCATTCGACCCAATGGACGAAGTGATGTGTAAGAAATGTGGACGTGGTGACGATGAGAAGTGTTTATTGCTGTGTGAAGATTGCGATTATTCACTGCACACCTACTGTTGTGAACCACCGCTTAACAATGTGCCCAAAGGTTCGACTGTTTTGTTTCAGTCATTCGCAGTCAACTTTCCGT